TATCTATCTATCTATCTATCTATCTATATATATATATATATATATATATATATATATATATATATAAAATTCTAACTGAATGCGACAATGAAACAAAAAGATGAAAAAGATGACCCAAGAACAATTTGAATAACTGATGAAAACCTTAAGGCTCGATAATAAAAAGTAATAAAAGTGATTACGAAAAGTGTTTACGCCCACATTTTTTGCGGCTACGATTGTTAGAGCCCATGAAAGCACCTATGGAAAATCAGAGATATAGATACTGTTGGGAGAAGACACTTGTTATCCTCCTTTTCCGAGTTGGATTGTGTGACAGATCCCGCCACGATTAACGATTCGTGAACAAAGTAGAGGGTAATCGAATATTGGAATAAGACAATAAACATATGTACGCTTCCAGTTAGCCAAGATGTTTGTAGGTTCGTGTAACGAAACACCTTCTATGTGCGGCGTTTAACCCACCGAAGGAATTGTTACCACAATCCTACCGCGAATATAATGAAACGGAAGGGCTTGTGTTTTGCCTCTCCCAATTCAGAGAATCCCACGCGTTGTATGTACTTCAAGAAACATTCTTGGGAGGTTAAGAGTAATCGACTTTATCTCATAATATACATAACAAATTCATTGAAATGCATCTCAAATGTCGCCAAATCTACCAAGAGCCTTCCCATTAGCAATATGTATTCCAAGAACCAGAGATGTCATAATCTCTAGTTAAATATAGGACTTAAACATATACAATATCCTTTCAATTAGGTTTCAATTTAATCTCGGGTCCGATGGTGACCAGCCCCAATTGAAGTTCCCCGGGAACAGAGAAAGTACTACAGAACTGGCATGCGACTCTTAATATCTATTACGCCAATATCTTTGTTCTATGGGTGCCGTGGATTCACAGTATCGCGTGCAGGTGGGTGCCGTAACAGCACAGGCCGACGAACAGCACGCGATTAACCCTTCCCCCATCCTTATCTCTATTAGGAATCATTAAGTTCAGGTGGGGCTCATCCTATTCCCATAAGGCTATTTCCTCCATATTTCGAAAATCTACAGCCGTACTGCGAGACTTAGGTCCGTTTTGGGCTTAAAATCGTGAAGCGAGGAAGGAAAAGAAACGGGCAGGGGAGAAAGAAAAGGAAGGAGAAACGACTGGCGAGGAAATTATAGAGATAGGAAAAGAGGGCGAGAAGGGGAAAGGAGGAAGAGTTATAGGAAAGGAAAGAAACTGATAGCGGAAAGGAAAGAAAGTGATCGGCGAAGCTCGTAATGATTAAAAACTGCGGACACATTAGGAAAAATTGATTGATTGATTACTCGTGATTCAAGGTGCGTTAACTGCTAAGGTCATTAATCCCATAAATGTAGTTCATACTTTTTGCTCGGACGGTGGCGGTAATCTTGTTGCGGTGGATGGTGAGATCCGGCGCTGACCTACCGTCGGCTAGCGGGGTTTTCCTCAACCAGGTATCTCCCACCAGCGGAACACCGCCATATTGGGACAAGCTCTAAGTTCCTCACCGGTCTCCCGGCACGTGTGGTAGCGTCGTGCATATAAGTGTAAGCAGAAACACACGTCCATTCAAATATCGAATTGGAATTTGAAGATTTTTTACCTGAGTGCGCTTTGCCCATTAGTACATGGACTTGAGACAATCTAACCTGCAAGTAAAACAGTTCGTTCTCACATGCGGCCGAAGCTGAACCAGAATGCATTCAGTAGTTCGCACGAGATGCCTGAGCAATCGACGCCTGTTGAAGTGCAAGCCAAGACGCAATTAAACGGTCCCCGAGAGCAGAGACGCACCGTCTGAACTATAATGTGATACGCCGACAATAAGCGTTCGCATCGTCGTGTGTCGGCAAGTGTTGCTGAATCTGAATGCAGCTCGTTCATTCGAGATCCTCGTTGCTTCGACATTAACAGAGGACCTCGTCGTCTGTTGGTAGGGGTAAACCGGAACGCGCTTTGGTAATTCTAGTGTCCCACTACCCCGATAGTAAACGAGTGCGTTCGCGCGCTGCAGTGCTGCCAACCCTAAATGCAATCTGTTCATTTCAGAGCGTCACGTTGCCGATACTCAGCGAAGGCGCACTAGTGTCACATGAACGTGAATGAACTTTCGACAACACGCGTGTAACAGGTGTGTGCACAGGTGTTCAAGGAGCGAATCAAAATGAGCTTTGATAATTTACTGAAAGCGAGCGAGTTCGCGTGACTTGCCAGGGTCGCTGAATCTGATGTTTCCTTTGCATCTTTATATTTATCTAATCTAAATCATCTAAATATAAGGGCATTTGAGGGTGGGCTTCGCTAGGTGTGGAAGATTTCGAATGAAATTTGACCATTTCACAGTCTGAAGGTAACGAAGCGTGTAGGAGTGCGTTCTTTTCAGAGTGATGCATGAACCTAAATGACTTCGGCAGCGAGAGCGATGGCATGTCATGTCATAAGTTGCTGAAGCTACGTGCTCTAGGGCAATTTCCCGTTGATCGTGTGTTGTCAGGAGTCTCTGAATGCTTCGGTAGCATCCCGCTGAGCTGAGCGTGCAAGTCGGGCGTAGTGGGTTGCAGGTGTCGCTGAACCTGAGCGCAAATCGGCAGCATCGTGTTGTGTAAAGTGCGCAAGTAACATGGCAGGTGTCTCTGAAAGCTTCGACAGCATCCCGTCGAGTAGATCGTGCAAGTGTGGCGTGGTGGGTTGCAGGTGTCGCTGAACCTGAGCGCACTTTGGCAGAATCCCGTTGTGTAAAGAACGCAAGTGGCATGACAGGTGTCTCTAAATGCTTCGGCAGCATCCCATCGAGTAGATCGTGCAAGTGTGGCGTGGTGGGTTGCAGGTGTTGTTGAACCTGAGCGCACATCGGCAGCATTCCGTTGTGAAAAGCAGGTGTCGCTGAACCTGAGCTGAGCATATCGTGCAAGTGTGGCGTGGCGGGTTGCAGGTGTCGCTGAACGGGTGGGGGAGAAAGATAATTCAATGGGGACGGATACAAGGAGTGTGCGTAAGGGAGATGGATTTCGCCCCTTCACAGCGCAAGGCCTGCACAGGCAGGAGATGGCCACGCCACATGCCGGCACGCTTTGCTTCCCTCGCATTCCACCCTGCTAGCCTCCCACCCCTTCTCCACTCGCATATCAACCCATCCACCCCCGTTTGACCATTGTCGGCCGCGTTTCGCCAAACTTTCCACATCCGATCACCCTCGGCACTATCCTTCCCTGCCGTCTCATCCCTCTTCAATCCGTCTCATCCATTTCCTATTCCCCGTTTCATCCATTCCCATCCCGTTTCCATCCTACTAATCCACGTCTAATAACGCTCTCCAACCTTCTGTCTTCAAAGCATCCGTCCTATTCCTCTCTCATATCCAAGGTGTCATATCATTGTCCGACTATAATTGACTTGAATCGCTATTTCCTAACCATGGCTGCCTCGGCCTGTTCTATAGTTAGATCCCTGTCCTCAGCTGTGTCGCTTATTTAGTTTTTCATTGAAAGTTTCCGACATATTTCTCGTCTTTAATTCGTTTTTACTATCAATCATGTTCTATTCATGTCCTAATCAAATCATTCAAGCCTGTTATTGGTTTTCATCTTTGAAATGCTCCAGTACAGGGCCCAACTCAAGGCATTCAATTTATTTATGTTATGTATTTAGTTAAATTGTTTTTATTTAAGAAATTGGTGTGTTTTTTATATGAATTGAATTTTTTTTAATTATATTTTTTTGCCTGAATCAAAGGGTATTCCATTTGGCCAAAAATAACTATTATTACTACCTATTATTACATTAATTATTGTTATTTATTAAGAGATGAGTACTGTGATACGTTGGCGTATATGTAAATCAATTGTGTAATGTATGTTCTGGTAGTATGCAGTGAAATAGGTTATGCCATTCTTGGGTATAGATTTAGTTTATATGTATGCTGTTAGATAAGCGAAATAAGAGCGAAAAATGCAAGTTTAAAAGATACGAACAGTAATAGTCTCTGATATGAAGAATTGGGAAACGTCTAAGCTGATCATAATCGGTTGGTAAGAATTTAACCGTTTTCTACTTTTCATATCACGAAATCCCATTAAAACAACATAACATGACTGGGTTATTGGGGAATGTACCCAGAATGAAGATGAGGAGGGTTACGTACAGTTAAAAATATTCATCTTCCTAGGTCACCTTGGCAAATGAAAAAAAAAAAGCTGGGATTTCTCAATTAAGGCAGTAAAAGTCTTTCAAATTATTTTGATCAGTTTTGAACGAAATTTAAGAAGTAAGACCCTGAAAGAGAACGAATTGAAGTCAGAACTTTTGAGTGATATGGTGTTAATATGAAGACTAAAGGACTAAGGAGTAAGAAGAAATTACATGAATATGAAAAATCTACACGGTATAAATGCTTATAATTATTTACGCAATTTAAATTATTGACTATATGTGTGAATTTATATCTTGATAAAAAATTTACAAATATCTAGGCAAGGTGTGGTAGAAACTCAGTGAAATAAATACGGAGCATTAAAAAGTTAGTTTCCTGTTTGTGAATAAAGACATATTACATCCAACGATTATGCCACAGGTAAGCAATAAAGCTATATTTCGCAAGTTTTAACCGAATGGATAACTTCATCTCGGCTACTCATTTTATAAACCTGTTGTAGAATGTATGCCTTTGGATTAGGAAAGCGTGGATGCGTCTTGAGCTTGTTATCGATGTAAAAAATTAGGGAATATGCGAATATTTTCAGGTAGGAAATGTTAAAATCAGTGCGTGGGATCAGGACCGAGGAGGATATAAAAGACTCCATTACGATTGCTGTAGAACGGATATATATGTAGCGATATTGTCATGGAGAAATAGTAAGTGAGCCGAGAAGTATGCAAACTTGCAGTAAGCATGCCAAATAATGAGGGTCGATATTTGATATGGCAATGTGTTGTGAAATTAAGGAGTTCCCTCACGTGATCGAATGCGCAGGCAGAGGTAGACGATATGCCCAAGCCCATTTCGGCTAGGATGGGTGGGAAATCCAGCTGCCCATGTATTAATACGTTAAGATTCTCACACCAATTTCTCTAGCAAGATGTAATTGCAAAGAAATATCTGGATGGCCTTGTAGATAACTTTTGTAATAAAAAGTATAATAATATTATGAGTAATTAAATTAACTAAGAAGTAGAGACAAAATTAAAACATGGAAAGGGGGAAAATGCAAAAACCGGACTTACTTCGAATGAGATAATAAATTGTTGTAATAAAACCAATTTAGAATTTTTCTGAAGCCTACTAAAAAGATATAACAAAATTAAATTTTACTGGACCAATTACAAATTTATTAGAATAGAGGGAAATTTATGTTATTAGAATATGGTGTGACGAGATTTGGAATTGAATAAACCAAAAAAGTAGTTCCATATACATGGTTTGGTTTGGTAAGTATTAGTTGGTTAGAAGAGTTTATCGAAATAAATAGATATGGAAGTAGTTTATTTTGAGTTCGAGACCACACTAGGAGATATAGATATTCACCAATGAAAATAATTACTTGCACTGGATTAATAAACTTGAACATTGCTTAAATGACACCTAGGGGTGAATTAAAAGTAAAGTAATCATCCTCATAATATATCTTATAGTGTAATGTAATTCAAAATATCTTGTATTCTAAATCTGAGTG